AGAGAGAGAGAGAGAGAGAGAGAGAGAGAGAGAGAGAGAGAGAGAGAGAGAGTTGCAACAATATTGTTAAGGATGAAATGCACAGTCGGCTAAGATCTGAGATTTTCTTTTAAGACAAATTCAACGCACAAACGTAAGTTTATCCTGACCTTACGATAGCATGTAGTTTGGCAGATGCGTAAATGTAAAACCCAGCCATTTGGGATAAATCGTTTCTCGCGATTAGGGGACACACGACCCTATACAATGCCACGATGCAACCGTGGAGAACAACAATGCAACACGGGGGCGTCGAGAATGTGACGGTAGACTGCGCTGACAACTGACGAATATAACGTTTCTCACAAAATGCTCAACGTTTGTTGCTCTTAATCATTGACGCGTATAAAATTAAACAAATAATTTTAATTATTGATAAGTGTTCAATGTTTGGGATACTAGGTAGTAGTGAATGTTTTGTGCATATCCTCGGTAAATTCAGTCGATCGAAAAATTAAGATAGGAAGATATATAGTATATATAAATGCTTATACATCCGTACTTTCATATTTTGCTTGTTGCTGTGTCTGTTATTCTTAATAATGGCATTAACGCTTTAGATAAATGATAACGCGCTGGTTTAATTTATGTTCTCTCGACGAGATTAGATCATTGCGACTTACGCATCACTCAACTTCAATGTTCGCATTCGAACAAAATGCTCGAAATTTTGGCGAAAATTGCATAATGTCTGTGCGACCACAAGCACTGAGGACTCTGTCAACTATTGTCTACAGTTAGTGTAATATCGATTCAATCAAATAAATTCCCAGTTGATATTCTTGCAATTGTGAATTAGCAAATCATGGCGACTCTGAATATTTCCCAGACTCCGACATAATGTGTAATTTTCTCGACTCTCACCTGAGGCGCCCCGAAGAGGCCCCGAAGGGCTGCCGCCGGTAGAGACACCCTCGTCTTCGCTGCTGCTGGTGCTAGCTTCACTGGGACTGTAACTTCGCCTGCTTACGTCTCCCCTGATGATTTTCTGGCCGCTCGCCGTGCCATTGTTGTTGTCGTGCGTCCTAACCTGAAGTCTCTCGTGCATAGTCCTCACGCGCGAGTGCAGCCTTTGCTGCTGGAGGGAGCCAACGGAGAAGTCGAGCGGTTGATCGATCTCCGATTGCACTTGCGACTGATGCCTCTGCACCTGGCCACACACCGATCCAATCACCAAACTTTGCGGCTGGGACACCTGTGCAATGGAGGATATTTGTTGCTGCTGTTCCTGATGAACACTACTGAGCGGGCTCCACCACTGATGCCCGCCCTGATTCGGTCGCCAAGGCTCGATGGTATTATTGTTCGTGGGGCTTGTTTGCTTCTGCTTTTGCAACGACTGCTGGGACTGTTGCTGTTGCTGCTGCTGGGCCATGACAACCTCGACCAAGTTGTTATTCTCAAGCAAATGCATACTGGGGGTCTGCGTCATTGATGCTGACAGAACGAAGGGAGAGAGTCCTACCGACGGTGGACTGGCCTCCTGACGCTGTCTGTGGGCGGAATGATGATGGTGATGCTGCTGCTGCTGCTGCTGCTGCTGTTGGCGATGGTGATGATGTTGTTGCTGCTGATGCTGCTGTGGAGAGCTCGCGGGTACTATCACCGGAGGCGGAATCGGCCGGACGGTACGCGCGGCCTCCGCGACCCACCGGCGCACCGCCTCACTGTCGAGACCCGCCAGCCCTGCGGACTTCGTTTTCGACTGGCCTCCGGGCGATGATAAACCCTTGTCGGGTATCAGGCCGGGTAGCGCGAGGACCCCGGTGCCCGCCACCGCGACCCTGGGTCCCGAAACGCCCCCGTAGGCAGCCAACGCCGCGAGATCCAACGTGGTCACCTGCTGAATTCTACTTTCGACAAAGGATCGCGCCAGTTTACACGGCAGAAGACTGTTCACTGATGATTTAATGTCCTACGTCGATTATCATCGCTTGTTCATGTACATGAAAATATGTAAAAGACGAGATATAGTTTGAAGATGTTGCCTCCAGGTGCGATTTGATCGACCAACAAAGTGGAGGACATCCGTAGTTCCAATTGCTGGTCCTTGGTGCGAAGACCGTGCTTTGCGACATTCAGCGGATGATAGTCAACAAGATTTTCCTATGTCCGCGTCAAATTTAAACAATGTCTCTGATTCTTCGATAACACAGTCCACTTGAGAACTCAATACACCCATTAAGGATGCTCACAGTCACGTACACGTTCTTTCAGTATGGTGGTGGTGTGAGTATTCCAGTTTAAGACGTAACTAACCAATACACGATTTGTCTACCGCGTGAAACACCAGAGATTTGAGCGTCGTTGCTAATTATGGGCGAGTAACTCCACCTTCATCACAAATTCATCCTGACAACTCCAGTTTCTCGGCCAAAACAGCGCTCCCGCCTGGCGACTCTAAAGCATCGGCCGTAAAACACGTGAACACCGGTGCAGCTGTCACCGGCGCGAACTGTCAGTCCGCCTGGTTGGAGTCTAACCGAGTTGTCTTTCCCGATGATACGCACTCTCTTCAAACACTGGGAACGACAAGCAGTCTTTGCGCCTACGTCATTTGCGACTGTCATTGATGCGCCGGAGATAGAATCACCGGCTGACGAAGTCATCAACAAGCACTACCTCGTCAACATGAATGATCGCGAATTCTACTAGCGAGTCAGGAGTCACTACACCGGTTCACTACTTTCTGCCGCCGTATTTCCCTGGTAAGGACGTCACGTCATTGTGAATAACACGTGACGATCAGCGCCGATCCGTCACGACGCAACGTGCCGAGACAGCCGATGGCAACGCAGGTAGAAAGCGCCGACGCCAGCAACTATTACGACCTGCCGACGGATGAGTCAGGTTCAACCTGTCGACGCGCCTCCCTCGTACGGCGTGATCGCAGGCACGCTTGGATGAGAGTTCACGCGACGAGCTACGACGGCGGTAGCTACGGTTGCTGCGGCTGCGGCGGCTGGTGGTACGGCGGTCAGATGCTGTCGCGTGCATGTGTGCAGCTACACTAGAGGACTCATGTACACCCGCCTGGCCGCCTACCGGCCACGGCAAACGCGGCCGCGTATGCGAACCGGAGTAACCTGAGGTGGGGGAGTCGTTAGGTCTCCTGGCAGAAAGAGGAGAAACTGCGGGCGAGACAAAGAAGAAGAATATCTACGGCCCCGAGTGGGACGAGGAGAGAAACGCGTGGAGCGAAAAGCGTGGCCGGCAGTCGGCACAACCTGGGGACGGCAGTTCTGGTGGGGCAGCAAAAGCGTCGGTGGGGAACACTCCTTCCAATCGCAGGAAAACGCGGATCACGCGCGGCTCCGCCCGGCAAGATAGAGGCGAGTTCTCCGGCCGCGGAACTCGCGCGAACGCGAGCGCGAGAGTGCACCTTTTTCACCTGGTGTGCATCGGTCGCTATCGCGAGGCCAAGGAGAGAAAGAGAACGAGAGAGTAGACGAGCGGATTTGCATATGCAATGCTCGCGTCCAATCACCGCGCTACCTACCCTACCCCGCGAAGATGATGACGATTAGACCTTGATACTTAAGGACCCGTTCCGTGACCGATGCTTAAGAATTAAACCCGGCTCGATTCCGCAGCCGGCCAATCCGGTGCGAGTTGCGTCGGACCGGTTCGATTCGCATGCTTCTTCGCGGTTTTCTTTAATACGAACCGACCGAGACTGAGCATACCCGCTGGATTATCAAGAACCTTCACTACTCGCGAGCAACATGCCAATCAATAAATGTTCACTGCAGAGGGCAATCAAAATGTCCCGGGTGCAGTCTCATGTGAAAACGCGCACCATACTTTGGACGATTACTTTAACTACCTTGGGAGTACCACGTGGTCATACAGGACGTACAACCGCACAGTATAGGATATAGTACGGTTGACACAGACGTAGGTAGATAGACTTAGTTAGCGGAGTAATCGCAAGAAAGCCTCTCACGCCGGACCACCCACATGAACTCCTACAGCCACAATCGACTATTGGGACTATCCGCTTGATCGCAAGTATGAATTGTTAGAATGTTTGAAACAAAATAATACTTAATATCTCTATAGACTGACGTTATTTCTTTTTTCTACAAATATATCTATAGATATGTGACATAATATTTGTGTGTTATTTTATTTATACCTCATTTACACCTCATTTATACCTCATTTATGGAATTGTAGAGTTTGTGTGTATGACTATACATGTGATGTTAATTTGCCCCTCAATCTCTCAACCATAACTTCTCAACTACTCAATATTTTAAGTTAAAGTAAAGTATTAAGGAAAGTATTTAGGAAAGTATTAAGATGACTAGCTTCTATTAATGAGATTTTGATAAACAAATTGAGATTTTTTCTCCCGAGATCTTGAAAATATACCTGAGGATTAGGGACTTGTATTATGGTCGTATGATGTCGATGAAATGGCAGTAGGTGGGTTAAAGGTTTAAATCGCTAGTAAGGGCAATCTGCCAAATAATGTGATTATTGTATCGACTTAAGATACATCTTTGCCAGAAAGACATACCTAAGTAATACATCACGAACCGTATGATTCAAAGTTATTGTCTTGAATTTTATGATTATCGTCCTACAAATTGTCAGAATGTTTGAAAAAGTAATAATGCTGACTATTTGAGATATAACCTAATGCTTATTTACAATATTTTATCAAATATGATAAATTACATTGCATCAACTTTGTAATAATTTAGTGCCAAACTAATTGCTACTTGACATGACCTGTCATCCATCTCAAAATATTGATGGTAACATCACACACATAAACGATATAAAAATATATTGTGTAATAAATATCGACGGGAATAGTTGGGTCTCCATAAAACCTCCTATCGGCCGCCATGTCGATTCGGGCACCTCTTAGCTATCATATTTCCATACAAATCCATCCAGCCTCACCACTCCCAAGATTTGAATTCAGCATGCGCAGTGCCGGTGCAAAAAATAAGGCGCTTTAAACTGGCCCTTTTATTGGTCGCGCGAACCGTAGCACTCTCCCCACCCACGCTATCCCCTTCGTGCTGCACACACATAAGCGTCAGTACTTTTCTTCTTTTTCTTATCACGCTATCATATTTCCATACAGCCGACATCCTCCACCACCACCGCCACTACCCCACCGCCGCCTGCACCACCACACACTATCGTCACTCCGCTTCCACCCCTACTTCTACTCGATACCTAGCTCGCCCAGATTTGAATCCGGCATGCGCAGTCCTGCGCGCAAAAAGGGCGCTTTAAAGAGGTTCTTATTGGCCATGGGAACGCCATCCCCCACTCCTTATCGCGTGTACCGCGTACCTCACATCACAAACGCAGCCTTCCTCTTATCGTGCCAACCACCCCTTCGCCGCGCACCCCGAACTTTCGTCTTCTCTCTCTCCTCGTGCTTTTTCTCTCCTGCCGGCTCTCTCATTTCTTCGTCCTGGTCCCCACCAATGCCTCGTCCTTCGCCTCGCATGCCAGACCGGATACATAGGAAGGGGCAACCCCTACCGCGGTTCCGCCACCCTCGCGCCTGTGGCGCGACGAAGACGGAAATGATAAGGGAACAGAGACGACGATAGCGAGGGAAAGAAGAGAGAAGGAAACGGAGAGGAGAGAGCGAACCGGTATTGATTTTAATGACGCCCCTACCGACACGAAGTCACGAGAGAGGCGCGAATAATATGTACGCGCTCTGATTCTAATAGCCAGCTATTATAAGTGCGTGCAAATAAATTTCTCCGAAAGAGATCCGTGCGCGATACGTACTCGAAACGTCCCGTGATTATAATTGATAACACTTCGCGAGAGACGCTGAAAGTCGTCCGCATTCTCACGATTCTCCCCGTCGACGTAACCGAGCAAGCTCGCGAGAGCCACTTCAAGAAGAGAGTCATACTCGAGATACGCCTGTAATGTCGCGACAATGTCGTCCCGATGCAGCTATCTCGCGACGTCGCGCCGGCACACTGTCTTCAATTGTTAATATGAATTATTAAAACGTCCCGTCCGTGGCGTGTGTACACGTTCCCATTTCGGGATGGAAGGATCTCCCTATGGGTGGAGTTACGTCTGGCGATGAAGGGTGAAAACACTTGCCGTGTAAAATCAAGAGGATCAAGTGGCATTACTAAGGGGTCGCATTCAAATATCATAGGCGGGCCCCTAATCTGAATAAAGTGGCGAACCCTTTCCCCTATGCTATGAACCCTCTTTTTTTATTCATTGCGCACAGGTATTTGCATGGGCTGGCTACTGACGACAGGTGTCAAGCTTCCCCTTCCTCACATTCAATAGAAGAGAGCGTACCTATATGGAAATAGATAGCTACCTGCCCGGTAATGTGCACTTTACGACGAAGAAGGGTTGACCTTCACCGCTGATTCATCACTGGCACAGGTGAACTGTCTACCTGATCCCTATTACACGGACTGACTTCTTTCAGAATGAAAGCTGCTAATTTTTAGTAACCTCTAACAAATTGCAATTTTTTTTGAAAAATCCAATGCATTTAAATAACATTACTATATAAGCATACATAAGTATACTTTATAAGAGAAATATAAATTTGTGCAAATTGATATATAATTCACATATTTTCTCTCTCTCTCTCTCAATAAAAAATATATAATATATTGTATATTTTATATATATATGTGTATAAATTATATACACACATTTCAGTTTTAATGCGTAAATTTATTTATATTTCAGAATAAACTGATATCAATATGTTGCGACTGCGTATCTCGAAAGTACTGATTGCAAATTTGCATTTCGCAAGAATACTGCACTAACACAATTTGTATAGTATTGTATAGTATAGTATCTACCAGTCAAAATATACCCATTCTCGAAATACATTCTCTCCGTTTATGTTACGTACCGTTACGGTGATGTCGATTCTTTAAAATCACAAAAAAGGAACACGACTGACATTTGAGACTTATCTCGAGCTCGCCGCGTGAGACCCTTCATACCCCCTACCAGTTTCTTTAGTAGAGTCCTCGGCAAGGGTCCACCCTCCAGTAACAGTAAGGACGAGCCATTACGGTCAAAATTAGAGGGTTTGATCCCAGTCGAGTGTTCGAGCTCCAGAAAATGGAAAAAAATACTTTTCTACACGCGAACATTTTAACCATCCCTAAGCATGTACGCAATAGAGAGCCTTTGAAAGACCAGGTGCGCTATATAAGTTCTTTTCTATTCAAACCCACGACAGCGTGCAATAAAGTGGGCTAGCTGTGACACGGGTCAAGCCTTTCGTAATGCGCGTGTTTATCCCAATATTACGAAATCCATAACTTGCGATATATAAAAACGAAAACACTTCTCGGCATCACTCGCCGTGTCACAGTGTCTGAAATTCAATGGATTCTCTCCATACTCAGACGAGCTAATTTTGCTTCAGTGTGTGCGCAATGGTACTTTTTAAATTCTTCACGTACCCATGGAAACTCGGAGCGAACTCGGGCGCAATTGTTCCCGGCACTTCTCGCGCGGAGAAGTTCCTGAGAGCCGGACTGAACTTTACTGGCTTGCTATTTTCGCCGAATAAGAGATCGTTTTTTCTTACTCTTCCTCTCTTTCTCTTTCTACCTCTGCCCTCTGACAGGTTCAAGCCGAACCCTTCACAAGAGGTCGAAATTTACAAAAAAAATTAGACATTGCGCGCGAACCGAGCACCAACTGAGCGAGGTTTGTCGAGAAAATTTTACAGCTTTATTATCGACATTCGTAATCAATATAGTCACCGCCTATTTACAATATTTATTTGTCACGTCAGTTGTTTGTTGCGTAAATTTTGGTTCGGTCTATTAGTCGTAGGATGTGCTCGGCTTTGATGCAGCCAGGTCAACATTTTTTGTTGACTTAGGCAATACTGAACTGCATATTTGACTATTCTGTTTGTCTCTGTGACGGGACTTTTCGTAGTTTGTCACGACGCGTGAGTTGCTAATGAAAGGATATCTCTTATAAGTTCGAAGGAACGTATTTGTATGACAAAATGAAACGCAACACGTGCTAATTTCTATATAGAG